GGTTTTCGGTGGAAAGAGGGATGTCTGGGTTTCCCTCATGCACCGGTTAACCCTTGAAACCCAATCTTGGATTAGCGGAAGAGAAAGGATGGATGAATGTATAAAATTGTGGGTCTACTTTACATGTTATTGACTCTGATCTATTTCTTCCCACAGACCCTGTTATTGTGCAGCTGCAGCAAGTGGTTGTGGGGATTGTTGTCCCATCGCTTTGCATCTGTATAATTATGTTGCTCAGTTACCTTCTCTACAACTACCTGAGTGGGAAGGGACGGGCAAGCCCACCTGTATTGGTAATTTGAATTCATATTCATGTGCACAAAGGCATTTACACAATTAACTTGCTTGTACAATTTTGTCAATCCATGTCTTATTCTTCTCTCTCTAGAATCAACCATCGTTTCACTCATGTCCTATTGTGTTCCTTCCTGATAACGCCACCCTGCAGCTAACCAGCATCCTTCCCAATAAGCCACCTCCTGAGATCCAACCCTTCATTCCATGCCCTCCATATGCACCTCAGAGGGCTGATGTACCACAAGAACCTGAAGAACCCATTAATAATTTGTCAGATGACTATGCCGCTGTCGTCCGAAAAAAAGTTAGTGGAGAGAACACAAGACAGAGGGAGCCTGAGGAAGGAGTTGCTGTGAATAACTTGAAGGATGAGCACCAGAAAAATGCAGATTGTTATGAGAAGAAAGACGTTAAGATTAAAGATGGTAATGCTTCTAGTGGGTACAAACCTCAAGCTAAAACATTTGGGCAATCACCTACGCAGACAGAGGTTAGTGCTTTATTGCAGAGTTTGCCGTGCTCCCTAAGACCCCCTGTTTCACCATCACAAACTCAGGCACCAACACAATCTAATCAGAGATCATTTAGTGATAAGCAAACTATAGAGAACAATACAGAGTCATCAGCTTTGTGGTTTACCAAAAACGCTCAAACCCATCCATTTAACGTCCATCTAAACCTACCATTATTGAAGGAGAAAGAAAAGAGGGAAAAGATAGAGGGAGGTGAGCAGGAACAAAATCAGTGTGAGAATGTTCCTCTTCTTTCCAAGTATGCCTCTCAGGTCATCCCAACCACGCCCGCTGTCCACCCCCAACAGTCTGACCACTTGTCAGACGAGTACGGTGCTCTGATTCAAGCCGCAGCACAGAAAGCAGAGGCAGGTGATTTTAAGATGGAGATGTGTAGTAACTGGAATCCTGGGAACATCCAAGAAATGCTGCCCATGCCGGGGATGACCTTCAACTGCGACGAAAGGTTGGGTGGCATGCAGCCTTCAGACAGAGGCAAAGAGGACAGTATAGGAGGAACATTTGAGGGGAAGTATATGACAAGAAATCACCTGAAGTTGGAAAATGTGTTTCTCAGACAAGCAAGTGACGAAGGGGCTGGCGCACAGATGGAGGAAGACATGGATAATATTCTTAGCAAATGGCATTTGGTCATCTCAAATGATGACTAGAAGAAATTAATGACTGCCAGTTTTACTCTTATCTACAAGCATCGTGTCATCATATCACAGTAATGTACTCCATTCGGTTTTGAGTCCAGTTAATGTAGATCTTTTTTTATATAACTAGAAGCTCAAATCACAATGAGGTGTTTACATTTATTGGATTTTTATGTAGATGAAAGGTGCTGATGACGTCACTTCTTCGTCATTTCGTACCTTTGCACTCTTGGTTCTTTTATGTTCCACTGTTGTGGCTCTAAAATGGCGCCATTTACTTTGACATGTTTCTTGTGAACTACATTTGTAGTAGCCAGGGGGAAATTTTGCACTTGCAACTACAACTAACAGTTCGAGTAGTTTTCTTTATTTCCATTCTACCGTAGCGCACTGTAAGGAAATAACTATTTTAATTGATTCCAACGAATCATATCTGCCAGCTAAGGCACAATAAATTTTGGTTTTGATAAGTGTCATCTTAGTATTTCATAAAAATGAATTAACCTGAATTGGTTTTAGAACCAAAGCCCCGCCAAAAACAAAAGACAATAGGATATAACACAAAGAATTCAGAAAATAAAGTGAGGTTTGAGTGTTTTGTCACTATCTCCATAAATCTTGAAAACAACTAGCTACAAAGAAAAATAGACTGATCCATAGGTTAAGTGACAAATTGGTTTATTTCTGGATATAAAATTAAAGCATTAAGGTACACAATGGCAAAGAGGTGAATTGACCAGAAGCTGCAGATAGTCAACAAGCAAACAACTTGAAAGTAATGAGGAAAGACCTTTACCTCTATCCTAACCCTTGACCCATGAATGATCAGCGACAGAAAGCTTTAGGCGTATGATTCATGCCTTGCTCTGTTTGTGGTGTATTTGAGTGACTCTGTTACAACGTTGCATGAAGCCCAGGGAGTGCCACTTTAATGTTTAGGATCTTGTTCTTTTATTTCTTAAATGACGCCATATTTATGAGAAACCATTTTAGAAAGTGCAGATGATGATTGGCTTAATCATTTGCAGACATAAAACAATATAAGTTGTCAGTTGGAGACAAGAAGCAAAAGCAGTTGCTGCTGCTTTTGCTTCTTGTCAAGTTACAAAAATAACAAGCAATCCGGAACAAATCAAATCTCTCACAAGCTCTGTCGTTTTACGGAAAACTGACTTTATGTAGGAGTAGTGTCAAATATGTGGTATTTTATCGTATCGTTTTCTTGTGTACGTCTTAAAGGATTTTCCCGGATAATTCTGTGGTTGATTTACTAGCCGTACCAGCTCATTTTATACGACTGTGTACGTCTTTATGCCGTTTACTTGTACATCACTTTGGTTTAGTTGCAGAGTTTAATCATTTGATTCCAGTTAAAGCACTTGAAACTCCATATGTGGTTACTGAATATATATTGTTTTCGTCTATTGTCGGTAAATTTAGTGGAACATGTCTGAAATTCATTCCTTACGTATTTATATTCATTTTAAGTTAATTGCTGATGATCAGAGGAAAACATGAGTTACTTTGTGCATGTTAATTGTTTCTAGAGGAATAGATAGCACTTTATCACTAAATGTATCTTAGGTTTACTCATGAAGTAATGTGTGACATGATGTGTCAACTTTTCTTTTCTCACTATATTATTTTTACTTCCTTTCCTTACCAAGCCAACTGGTTCTCTTTATCAGCATTAATTGTTCTGCTATCTTGATTTTCTGGTTTGGGACAAAGCTTGTTTGGATTTTAAGAAGTAAGATATGGGTGTGAAGGGGTTTTTCTTTTTCCCTGTGTCACTACAAGTTGACAGACTTGACACAGACACTTCCTCGTTCCATCACCATAAGTAGGCCTAACTAAAGTAGTATGATGTCATACAACACTGTAAATACTTTCAGTTTCCTTTTTTGAGCTGTAATAGAGAAGATGACTTAAAACTAGTTGTTTTTTACTCAAATAAAAATGAAGGAAATCTTTATTTAATTGTACTATTGTTGTTTCTGATTCTGTGCCTTTTTTAATGAAGCTTTTAAAATCTTTATACAGAGCTTTTTTTTTTTGTCTTGGTCCTACCATGAGAATGTGAAATCATGGAGGATCCAAGTGCTCCGCCATAATGTGTAACTCTTATGTCAATTCTGATTCCCAGTTGGTTCATATAGTTTCTGTTTTCTGTATTTACAGAGTTAAGGATGATAAATTACAGGCTTTATGTGTAAACTCTGGGAATTAAGTGAATATGTTTTTACGTTGATATGAATTGTATTTCTATTGAGAGAAATGACAGAATGAAAAAAAATAAACTGAATGTATTACATACTTTTGTCAGTTTCTGTTTTCCAAACCTGCTTCATATTTTAATAAACATACTTAAATTGTCAAATAACTATTTGCATGTTAAAACAGACATCCGATATAACTGTATGATTGATAGTATTGTGAAGAGTTCACCCCCTTTATGATTGTTTTGTTTATGATATGACTCAATCTGGTTGCTTATTTGTATGTCAAAGAACATACAAATCAGTTTTTAAAAAATCTTGTTAAATTCTTGCTGGTACTTATTACATCAAAATATTGTCATATCTCGTGAAAGACAATATTTTTTATACCAATGATCGCCCCAAGTTGGCCTAACCAGGCATCGCAGTTTCTCTTTCTATTTGTTTCCACATTGAGCATCTAACTAGTAAATTAACAACAGATAACATAAGCTGAATTTGAAGATTATTGTGTGAATTTAAAACGTGTCTGATAAACTGATAAACTAGGCAACAACAAAAAAAATTCTTGGTTCATACTGTGCATTCAAGGGCTCTTGGGAGCCCCCTGCTGACATTATTTAAAATAAAAGGAAATATGACTTAATTTGCCCTTGGATTGATGGTGTTTGAAATATAAAAACATTTCAGAAAGAATCATTCTAATTGACAATCATTTCAAAAGCATATTATCTAACAACTATTTATGGTGTGATTGGAGAACTTCATGTGGAAGCAAGATCCATCCCAATTACTTTCAGGTGGGCCAGTCTTGGATCAGCTGTAGTTTGAACAGAACATGTTGTTCTGCCCACATCCTGACTTCAGATAAATTGTACATGCCTCCATACATCAGATAGGAATGTCAATAAATTGGTGCCTTTTGCTCAGTCGTTTTGGTTAGATTGTTAAGCTTGAAAATGTTCATGTTCTGATCTGTTGTAGGTTCTGGTAGGGATGTTGGGAAAAACAACTGGAACAGTTTGTAAAGGATGTTTTTATCACTTTTTTTCTCTCCCATATTTTTCTATATCACACAACAGCACCAATTTATGCACACGTAAGGCAATTGAATATTAGAAAATGACATAAAGTGGCGACTTCTAGAATCATTTTTGAAAGATAGTATAAAAAAAGCAACTTATATATTCACTTTTTGACGTTATGTTTTATAGCAACATTGAAAGCAGTGGATTGAATTATCTTTACAGGAAAAATATCTTCATACTCAGATGTACCCTTTAGGTGACGCTGTGCTTTTACCCATAGCAGCTCCCCTCTCCCTCCGTCTCCTCTACATCCAACATGGCGCCGTCCGGGACGGCTGCTCCGCATCATCATCACTGGGCGGGACCGCGGTGGGTCGAGCTTCGCCCTGCCAGCAGCTGAGCACTTCCGCCGGGGGTCAGGTTTCGCCTCTCTCCGTCATTCGGCATTTAAATTGGGCTGCAGGACATCAGCTGCTACCCCACTCAGCTTTGCTGCGTGACAGGAAAAATAACGCCTAGCGCTAGCTGAAACATTTAGCTTTTCTTTTCTTTTTCTTTTTTGTCTCGGAAGCAGCAGAATTACCCGCGGACCCTGGAAGAGGTTCGGGTTGTTGTGGAGCAGAAGAGCCGGAGAAGCTGAACAATAACGGTGGATGCACACTGACAGACAGCCACATCATTTCTGGGACTCCTCTGCTAACTATTGGATCATACTGAATAGCGGTAACGGTGCGCTGTGCCTGAGCAGAATAAATACGTTTTTCTCAATGGAGTTTGTTTACTGATGCAGATTAGTAAACAAACAAACAACGACAAAAAAAACAAACTCATTCAAAACAGTGCTGGGTAGCATTAGTGGCCTGGAGCTGGAAGGACCGATGAGCCCGATTGAATTGTAATAAATAGATATGCTGTTTCACTGATTTTAGTTGTAGGTAAAATTAAATACCCTCCAGATTATTTCATCAACTTTATTCAGAGCAGGTTAAACTTTGACATTTAATTTACTTGACCACTTTGTGACATAAATTAACTTTGCATAATTTTTTGTAAGTATTGGTTTTGTCCATTTTTCATATTTTTCTATACAAAAAAATAGATCCGTCATTTTTTTCCCCCCTCATATATGCAAAAACATCTCCCTACACTTAATTTTTTAACCTGCATGTCAGGAAAAAGCTGAACAAAAGCTGACCTGTGTCCCGCTAATCTTCCAGTTATTTTTTTATTTATTTTTGGCTTCCCCCCCCCACCCTAAAAGTTGGTGAATCAGTCCAACAGTAGGTAAACTGCACCAATGTTCAGCTGGCTTGGAACCGATGACCGGAGGAAGAAGGAGCCAGAAGTCTTTCAGACGGTCAGTGATGGACTGAAAAAACTCTACAAGACCAAACTCCTGCCGCTGGAGGAAAGCTACAAGTTCCACGAGTTTCACTCTCCGGCACTGGAGGATGCTGACTTTGACAACAAGCCGATGGTCCTGCTGGTGGGGCAGTACTCCACTGGAAAGACGAGCTTCATACGGTGAGACTGTGCAGCCTCACTCGTGTTAGACTTTGTTAGATTGAAAGATGAAATGCACACGGCAGGAGAAACCAGAAGGATAAAAACAAGGAGAGGCTGACACACCCAGTCAGACTCTTGTGGACAAACCACACTGTTAAAAATCACAAATGAAACATAGGACAATTAAAATGGCACAAAGGGCCTGTGGTGAACGTCTGCAGATTATATGTACTCTATGAAAATGTTTATTTAACACACACGTGCAGACACGCGCACACACACACACAAATGTGTTGCATCTGGAAGCATCACTGCGTGGAACAGCATTCTTTCCTTGCATCTTATCTTTATGCTAATGTACCATGCAGAAAATAGCTTCTGATAAAAACGTAGTTCCTTATGTAGAACAACTGTGATCAAATGTTTTGGGATAAAATGCCTGACATGCATGCTGTATCAGGGTTTTCAGTTCAGATTCTCCTCCAACGAGGAGAATCTCTGATTGATAGTTTTTCAGTCAGCGATATAGTGAGGCTTGCAGCATCCAGAGATCTCATCATGGCTATGAGAGGTAGACCTGGTTTTCATGGAGATGCAGAAACTGTTCAGTGATGTTTACCACCTCATCCAGTCCTTTGTGCTATGGAGCAAAACGTGTGCAGACCATATTGTTTGTTTTTTTTCCCTTTGTATATTTGAGTGTATATTACCAAGACATATTTCATCCAACAACTTTTACAATTTCAGTGCATAACTATTGTTATTTTTCTGCTGTTTAACAGGAAGTGTTGCTTGTTCAACCATTGATTTAGAATTTTTTTTTTTTTTACTTTTGAGAAAAAGAAATCATTTTTTGAGATACACTAACATATTAAATCCAAATATTAAACCATTATTGTTTTTGTTGACAAAAGGTTTTTCAAATATGTTATGCTATTAATGTTGTGGCATTCTTAATGAGTGATGATTAATTGATGGTTGTGCAACTGGCTTACACTCTAAACCAGTGTTTTATTTGCTGTGTTGGAGTTTTGAGAACCGTAGAGGGATTTATAAATCTTCTTACAAACCTGCATTAGGCTTTACACAATTAGCATATACCTTTTTTAAATCAACCAAGTAATCTACTAGTTACTGTTTTTTTTCACCAGTGCTTCCTAAAAATCTGATTTTATTTGCTTGCATATACTTTTCTTTGTCAAATTGTTGACAGATCAAGGTTCTAGAGTAATTTGACCTTCAAAAAGTTACTCAAGATGTAACAGACTTTCAGATAAATAAAGTATCATAAGTCATTGTTAACCACTGAAGAGGTAGAGCTGTCAGTTTCAATCCTGTCTCTGTGGGGGGGGGGGAACGGAGATTAAGGCAATATTTCAACAAACTTTAAATTTTTTTAATTTGGTAAATGGTTCGTTTTTAACCTACATGCATTCTCTGGATTTACTCAAGATATATTTTTGATGTGTTTTTTCAAATGTAACAACAATTTTGACTGAAAAGTTTAGAGCCAAAACTCAAAGTAGGTCAGTATATTTTCGTTTTTGCTTCGACTGCATTTTCTGTGGCCTATCAAAGCACATGACCTGGACTACCCCTGGAATTAATGTGTAATGCTGAGCAATATTAGCAGCACGGCGTTGAGCCTCTTTTAAGCCGAGGAGCGTCTGCACACACACTTGCACAGAGACACGCTTGCAGAGAGCGCTGTGGGTAATTAGCGAGTTAAGGCTTTGAAAGCCAGAGAGATGATGCTGTTAGTGACTTCCTGCTACAAGACATGGAGACATCCCTGCTCTCTCATCTTCCTCATAAAGGTCTAATTCTCTCTCTCTCTCTCTAACTCCCTCGGTCTCTGATGGCTGCTCCCCCGGTCAGCTGCCTGACCCCACACCACCAGCATTTTAACAACACAATGCAGAATGTACGAACTGCTTAGTAATGTTTGGTCTAAGCTCTTGCTCCTGCAACTCTTGCATACTTTGCAAAGCAACATTTCTTGCAAAACAAGGCATTGCTGCACCTCCTTGTTCTGTAACTCATAGATAAACCCAGTGAACCTCATCGTTAGGCTGAATTTACTGATTTAACCTCGCACGGTGTCAAAGAGCGAGTAATCTCCTGCGTGTTTGTGTGATTAAACGCGCCTTTTTTTTTTCCTTTTAAACCTCACGATGTATGATTTATTTGCAGATTTTATGAAACATGCTGCTGTGAGTCTTCAAATAAATTTGTAGTCCAAGTGCAGAATTCAAGCTGAGGTGATCCAGAATGACGCGAATGTTATAACTGCGCACACATGCTGCACATCATCCTCGTAGCTGAGCCACGGATCTGTGTATATGTTGCACAATGTTCTCACAGAAAGGAGGGTTCACGCTACTCAGGCGCGTATGCATAGAGATGGCTCTACCAGGCACCACTGTCTCCTCTGGCAAGGTGTGTCTTTAGTCAGATAATCTTATGGAAATATTCCACAGATCCCATTTTACACTTGAAACATGTAACCCTCCAACTTCCAGTTGTCAAAATCTTTCCTCAAGGTCTGCTAATGCTACTAGAATTGTAAAAAGTCCCATAAAATTTCTCCACGAGTTTAAAAGGTGACGTTTAAAACAAAAAATACAATTCAGAATTCAGTCTTAAACACATGACATGTCTAATAAGTATTTTCAACCTTGGCTGTCACAACTTTTTGTGCCCTGCAACACTTTTAGAGTTGCCCTATTAATTCAGTGGGAAGGGAACACATGATGCTGCAAAAATATGATAACCAGATACCAGATAATCCGGTCTCCATTGATTTTTACGTTTGTCCTTTTTTTTTTATGTTGATGCGCCTCTGCTTTCACGTGCCATGCAGACTACACATGAGCACCACTGCTACAAAATCGATGCAACTATGAGTCGCATGTTATAGCAATAGCATAATATTACTTAATTCAATTCTTCACACTGCATTGACGAAGATTCGTTCACTTTGGTTTGCTTGGCACTGAAACTGAAAGCTGACCGCCTCGCCTGCCCTACTTATTGCTTAGTTTTGCTAGTACCTCTCTGACAACTTGAGGCACTAACGGGGTATTTAAATTACATTAGCAGACTGCCAGTTGGTTTTTCAATAAGGAACAAAGTAAACGGTCAAAACAAGACCATGTTGTCACAGCTAGACTGACCAACCTTGTCCTGCTGCAGCAGAACACTGTGAATTTTTTCAAAGATGTGATGGGATTTGATGTTGCATTCATCCCCTTCGTCACATTGGGGCCCACTTAACTGACATTTTTAAATATGTCGATGCACAAAGAAAGATGGGAGCAGTGTGGCCTCAGCATTAGCCTTTGTGATATTCATAGGCTAAGTGAAATTTGAAATGCATTTGGCAAAACACCAAAATGCCAAATGCAGTGGTGCGTGAAGGAGAAATAAACTTGCCTTGCCTTGTCACACACAGCTGCTCTTTGTTCTTTCTGGTAGCATTTTCTTGGAAGCCTAGTCCCACTTAATGGAAAACCTGTTCCTATACGGCTGGTTTAGTTTTACAAACTGCTGGACTGTTTGAAGAAGTCCCTCATCTCGTTTAGTTTTAACACCGTGACCTTCAATTTCACCTGCAGCTACCTGCTGGAGCAGGATTTTCCCGGAATGCGGATTGGCCCGGAGCCCACCACGGATTCTTTCATTGCGGTGATGCACGGCGACACCGAAGGAGTCATCCCCGGGAACGCTCTGGTGGTCGACCCCAAGAAGCCCTTCAGGAAGCTGAACGCGTTTGGAAACGCTTTCCTGAACAGGTAGACGCCGCGGTTCAGCGAGGGCACGCACACGTTCGGCGAGGTCGCCGATTAACGCGGCGCAGGTGTCGCCGGACGTCTCAGGAGGAGTGTTCAGGGGAAGCAACATGTTATTTAGAGGTAAAGGTAGAGGGGAAAGACTGCAGCAGCTAAGAGAGAACAAGTGAGAATCCACACCAGCGCTCCACATTCCTGTGTGATTGAATTTCTCTCCTCTTATGGCTCAGACTTTTTTTTTTTAGATTCTTTTAAATGGGTGCCTGTGTGAGCCACTGCACTGCCATCCTCCTGAAAAACTCTCTACTCTTTTTTTTTTTTGTTGTTGTTGTTTTTGCATTTATGCTGTCACAGATATTTTACTGCTGAGAAAGAACATAATGAGTTAGAATTAGAGGGGGTTGCCGTGGGGATGACCCCTAACGTGTTCATATTTATTCAGCTGAGCAAACAGAGAGACGAGTAAGAGGAGGAAGGAGAGGTAGAGGTGTCCCAGTGTGGGACAGTGTTTGTTATAAGAACACTTTCCACTTCTGTCCTGATTTGGTCTAACGTCACTGCCTTCTCCTCTCTGTTTGTGTGTGTGTGTGTGTGTGTGTGTGTAGGTTTGTGTGCGCCCAGCTACCTAACCCTGTGCTGGAAAGCATTAGTGTGATCGACACGCCAGGAATTCTGTCTGGAGAAAAACAGAGAATAAGTCGGGGTAAGACACACACTTGTCACTCTCGCTCTTTTAAATATTCCTCTGTTTATGTTGCTGTGCGCGTGCACAGGCGTGCGTGCGTGCTTGTGTGTGTGTGTTTGTTAGTTCATCGGACCCGCTCAGCTGCAAGCTCACAGTCCCACTGATCTCTGAAACCCAGTGTCAGCATTTCCTTTGGACACTCTTGTCTCTTTGTTTGTTTTTAGCTGTTGCTTTCAGGAGGATTATGCCTCATTCATTTCAAAGAGCAGGAAGCGGAGACAAAAAAGATGAGCTTCGAATTCACTCTTGGCCCACACACATGCATATTTTTACTCTGCAGCCCTGTAACAAATTGATGTGATTTAATACCCTTTTTCTTCCCCCCACAAGTACTTCCTAAATAGCAAACAGAGCTGCAGATGAAAGCACAATCACACATCCTGAGTTTGTCATGGGTTAGATGCTTAAACATAGTAAACCACAGCTGCAATGTCCATAATTCCCGTTGTGCATCACACACAACTTCATTGCCACATGTGTGTCTCGGCAACGCCTTTTCACTTGACTGTCCAGCACAGGCAGAGATCCTTTTAATCACCAATAAGAACAAGCTGTTACATGTGGTTTAGGTTTAGATCTTAAGTCATTGTGAACAGAAAACACAACCTGAGAAGAACCCTAGTGCCGCTTCGGAGGAGGGAAAGTAAAGGTCTCGAATGACGAGACTTTCACGTTTCTGGTAAAACCCTGGAATAAATACATTTTTAGGGGGAATTTGTGACACCAAGATGCCACTTTATGTTGAGAGTAATTTTTCCTAGTTCATAAAGACACACTTCTACCTTAGTTGAATGCCTTGTTTTCTTGTTTTCCCACATTCCCACCTCCCACTACAATTGCTTGTATTGAAAGAGTTGGGTTACTAATTAAAAGTTCCCCAATATTGAGGTAAAATACAACTTTTTATTGGTATTTATTGAACAAATCAATACATGTAGATAGATTTTTTTAAAAATAAATAAGTATGGAAGATGCTATTTATGAAAAGAAAATCTCAAAAATTATTTCAGTATTTTCCAGCATTATCAGATAAAAAATTACACTATTCAGTTTATATCAGAAGTGAATAAAATATGTCAGCTTTTCAGTCTAACTGTTCACAGTTTGAATGATTTTACATTAAAAACAGTTCCTTGTCTGAACAGAGAAAATCAGTCCTTAAACACAATGCAGCAGTTAATTACAAAAGCTTGTGAAATGTTGAGCCTGACAACATTTCTTACAAATTTGTAAGAAATTAAATTTACAGTTGAACTCCAAGCTGTCTAATTGTAATTAATATTCACTATTAATTGCAATCTTTTGGGGTATTTTACATGATTTGACACCAAGACTTGGTAAGACCATGTCGAACTTGTATTAAACTTTTTGGAAAAGTGAAGATATCCGCGGAATAGTGGACCGGCTAGTCAGACAAACGCTGGATCGATGCCTCACCAGCTGATCTGGCGAATCGGCTGATTGTGAGTCTGTCGGAATAATTTTCAAACACATGCGAGACCTGGAAGCAGAAGAACATACCATCTATGATGCCGTTGCACAACTGAGAGAAAACAGTTCACTACATACTTGGTGGAGCCAGAGCGGATTTGGCAGATTGATGCAACTGGAAGGCTTTTAAAGTCCAGACGATGTTATTGTACGTAACTGTGCAACATAAAACCTTTGTAGGTGATTGATGCCTTTAACATCAACATTATTAAATGAAAACCAGAAAGAAAATCTAAGAAATTTTCAAATGAACTCAACCTTTTCACTACATTCTGACCCGAGTGAACTTTGAAGTGAACAGACGGCAAAGTGAGAGGATATTGTGGAGCAAAGCGCTTCGTTACAGGCAGAAAAGTGTTTGTGTGAGGCATGGTTGGCATTCCCTGAGCCTGGTAACGGCCTCACCATGCCAACCAGCAACATTTACAAACGAGCACAGACTCAATAAAATACTTTCACGGCTTCGCCTTCTTTAAATCATTTTTTTAGAGGAACTTTATTTCTTCTTTGCTTACCGCTGTTGCCCTTTGGTGATTGTTTTTTTTTTTCCTCTCTCTTACAAGAAGCCTGATTTTGTTAGTTGCAGGATTCATCCTAAGCTGCTCTTGTCCTGCTTTGGTTTCCGTCGAACCTTCTTAGCGATGCATGCATTTCACACACTTGCCTTTCAAAACACGTCATAAAGATGCATACATTTTCTTACGCAGTTAATTCCCAAGCAGTGAGTTCTGCAGATCACGGCTGATTACTTCATAGCCGGGGTGGGGTTAGATGCTTCTATTTGGAGTTTCCTCAAAACGCGAATGTGGAAAGGAGTTTTTCATCTCTTATTATCTCCAGCTCTTCTCTTGAGAAACGACTTCGACCGAGTGATTAGTGAATACGAACAGAGCGTTATTTAGGTGTGGCAGTAGTTGATTTAACACAGCCCTGTGTCAGCTCATTTTTATGGCTTTCTTTGGTCATTACAACTGAATCAGCACAGATGTGTTTTGTCCTCTTGTCCATTTTGTAATCCCTTCCCGCCATCTGAGTCGATTTATTATTCATCGCGTATGAGTTTAGTAATTCCGCATCTGTATACAACTGTATGCTCTTTTTTTTGTGTCCACATCCTTTCTTTTTCCACTTTTTATTCATTGTGTTATCAGATTTCACCTTTATCTATTTGTGTGTCTAGATGAGGAGTTGTCAGGATATAGCTCTCTGCGTAGATGTCCTTACGGAGGTACAGTAGATTATCTGACAAATCTCAGAGTCGGCCAGCTGCAAAAATCGCTCGATTTTTGATAAGTGTTTGAGTTCATGCATGTTCTTCACCAGTCTTGTCGCATATATTGGGGGGGAAAAAATTGTCTTTGAGTTATATTTCTGTTTCTTCGATGTTCAGATTGTCTAGATTTTGTTTTTCTCACCCCACAATCCCCATTTTGTATTTTTTTTTCTGTACAAGACACACTGTTGCCAAAATAATCAAATCACTTGCTTTTAAGAACAAATTAGATTTAATGATATCCTATATTTAATGTAAAGGTTCTGGTCTACACTTTTTGGCTATAAGGCTGAAATGTGGACCGTTTTTCCAGATGCTGATTCAAACATCTGAATTCAATGATCCTGATGGGTGCGCAATTACGTTTAGTATTTCAACAATTAATCAAATAGTTTTTTCCAGTTCTATTCTGACCTTTAACAACCTGATTTTACAGTTTAAATGCATCATTTTCAGGTAAAATGTTAGCAGTGTAAATGAACTCGCCAAAGCGTCTCTACAGATTTAGTTTTCTATACTTGTGGTTTAGCAGGCTGAGGCACATCGAACCCTTTCGAGATTAAAAACGGACCTTAAAATGTCTTAACAACTTCCCCCATCAATATGTGATAAGTTGGCGAAGAACAGTAAATTCTTCTATTTTGCTCTATCTTGTTTTCTCAAGCAGCAGATCGATTCATGCAGGTCCCTGGTGACACCGCAGCTAACCTTCTGCTAACTCCGACAGAACGACGAGTCTGTTAAAACCATGTCAGATTTAATGTTGTCATGTGTTGAAGACCTTAGCTTTATCAAGACTAGTTAGTTAATCATTCATAGCTGTTATAGATTTTAAAAAAAAAGTCCCTTTGGTAAAGGACAAGTGTTGATTTTACACCAAAATCTAATTGAAAATAGAAGAAAAAAAAAATAGTTTTGTAAAAACTAGATGCACACAAAACTTCTAGATTCGTACGTCATTGTTTTTATCTTGGCGAAAGCATTTCAAAAATTAGCTTTTAAACAGTTGATATCTGCTGGCCTCCTTGCTGGTTGCTGTGGCTTAGAAGTTATAGTGTAACTCATTAACCTGTAATGTACTAATTGTCCTTATGTGTTGAGTGGAAATTTCACCTCACTAATATTTCATCCTAATGTTTTATTTTATTCTATGATTCCTTCAGGCAAACCTCATGTTTGTCCTTTAGTGGCACGCAAGGCCAAACATCAATGATGATGATTTTCTCACTGATTAATTTACAGTAGAGGACAGTGGTGGTGGTTTTCACTGAGTGAGGATTTATATCTTTTATTTTAATTTTAAAACCTAAAACAGGTCCTTTTTTTTTATGCAAAAAAGCCCTTTTGGTGTGTACCGTCGAGAGTTCGACCTTCAAGAGGAAACAACATTCTTCTCTGTCAACGTGTTTTAATAAAGTTCTTGTTTCTTTTGGCTCTGCTTTATTCTGGAGTCACCGTAGTTTCTCTGGAGAGCATAGATCCATCATCACCTGAAGTTTCCTTTTTTTTTCCTCACATCATGTCGAGAGTTGGGAACTGCACTTGCTGTGCTGGTTTGAAGGACAATCAGTAGTTTAAATGTGTTTTTTTTTTTTTTTTTTTTTTTGGTATCTCATTTTAGGCTACGACTTTGCTGCTGTCCTCGAGTGGTTTGCAGAGCGTGTGGACAGGATCATATTGCTGTTCGATGCCCACAAACTGGACATTTCTGACGAGTTCTCGGAAGTTATAAAGGCCTTAAAGAACCATGAAGACAAGATCAGGTACTGTAAGGCTTCTAACTACCAGATCATCATTTCGAATTCATAAAAATTTCCGACGCTCTCTGGAAAAGAAAACCACATCCAGATAATTGACTGTTTTTTTGTCCAGACTTTTTTTCATCTTATTTTCTTTTTTCAATTAAACAAATCTGGTGCCAAATAAATGAAGTACTTGGCAATAACTTCCCTCCCTTTGTCTTTAATTTGCAAACTGGTAGCTTGATTTTAACATTTTACCTACAAACATTTCCATCTTTGACTGAATCAATGACACCCATACAAATGGAAAAAGTAGAGCGAGTTTTTCTACCGGTTCAATCTCTAGAAAACTTCAAGATTCAGGTTGACTAAGTAGCACTAAAATTGTGATTTGCTGGAGTTCTAACGGCATCTACATTGACAAACTATTGCTTTTAGTCTAAGATCCTAATTTCCTTGACAGGACCAAGAGTAACAAATTTTGAAATAAAGCTCATGTGAATTAATCCAGAAGCAAAATGCTCTATTTTAAAAATCAGCGATCTAAAAGCCATAAGATCCAGATACTTTTTAAGGAGGTTTCAAATATAGAAACAAGTACGGAGTTTAGTCTGGAATCTGGAACCCAGTTGATGAATATTTTGTTGTGGTGCAAAACTATTTTGTCTTTTTTTTTTTAATCACCTTCTTACAAGCAGCTCATTCGCTCTGTTTTCTGTTGTTTTCTCCAGAGTTGTGCTGAACAAGGCGGACCAGATCGAGACCCAGCAGTTGATGAGAGTGTACGGTGCCTTGATGTGGTCGCTGGGCAAAATTGTCAACACACCCGAGGTACAAAGATGGACGTTCACGTTACGCAGTTGTTTGGCATCTTGGCATTGTGGTGAAACAAGCGTAAAGTTTGAGGCTGTATGGAGTGAAAATCATTTGAAATGGAGACACAGGTCCAGATTATTCACACAACACCTCATTACGGAGAACGACTTTTCAGCAAGATACACGAGTTTGTTTTCAGTCAACAATTCCTTAGTTACAAGTGAAATAATCTGCCAGTGGAAGAAGATATTCTGGCTTAAAGTACAGGAAAAATGTCTTGTTCCACTGGCAGATTATTTAAGTTATAACAAGTTCTTTTTCATTAATATTAAGTTGTTGCTAACTTCAAACAATCTCCTTTATCTTGCTGAAAAGTTACTTGTAAGTTAGTTTTATATTTTTTTAAGTATATCAAGATATTTGCAATAGAAACTAGATCAAAAATACTTGGTAATATTTAGTGGTTTTGGAGTGTTGTGGTTTATGATGTTGTTAGCGCTCTTCTTCCCTCTTGATGTTTTTACGCTAATTTGTGACGGTATGTCACATAAAATCCTAGCAGGAAATATTGGTTGTGGCAATAGTTGAAAAAATGTGAATACTTTTGCTTTGTTTTTTTTTTTACTCCAAACCTGCCGTTGATTTTTTTTCCGCTTTTCTCATCTGCAGGTGATCCGTGTCTACATCGGCTCGTTTTGGTCTCACCCGCTGCTGATCCCTGACAACAGGAAGCTTTTTGAAGCGGAGGAGCAGGATTTATTTAAGGACATCCAGTCTTTACCCCGAAATGCGGCACTTAGAAAACTCAATGATTTGATCAAGAGAGCAAGACTTGCCAAGGTGAGACTCTGGCTGGAAAGACAGCAGAGATCTGGAACATTTTCTCCCAAACCCTGTGACCCAGAGCCAGATTAACAGGACCTCTAATGACGTGGCCGAATGTCAGCATCATGCGCATGTGTTTCCTATTTGTTCCTTCCCCCCCCCGCCCCTGTCCCTCCCACGGCTGTTAACCTTGACAGGGAAGCACTTATCGCTGTCACAAAACCGATCGCGTGGGACAAACATCGTTTTTCAGCTCTTGAGTGAATTATCTCCCGTTTCCTCTCTGAGCAGGAAGTCAGGTAGGAGCGTCACGTCGTAGTTTGGGGAAGGGCGTACGCTCGGACGCACAGATTTATCGGAGTTGATGGAGGTTTTCCTGCTCGACAGCTCACGGGTGTGTTTGAGTGTTTCAAGGACGTGAGGCGGACGCAGGAAAACGCGCATGCATCAACACGGCAACCCCACAAACATTATGGATTTTTTTTTTTTTTTTTTTTTGCAGAACTTTTCTATTGCTACATTCATTTTCTAAATATTTTTTTTCCCTATTTCAACCTCCAAAATCTGATGCAATAGTTTGTCTAATGACTAAAACAAAGCTGAAAGATTTAGTGGATAAGTAAACTAGTTTCAGGAATGCTGAGTGTAACACCAAGCTGTGATTACAACAAAATAACAAATTCTACATTGCAAAGGTTTGAAGTCATAAGTAAAAGATGGGAGGTAAGAACATAGCAATTAAAAGCAGATGCATGCAAACACTTTATTCATTTTTTATGGTAATGTTGTCTATTTTGATGACTTGTTATGATTAAACCTGGCTGGATGAAGATGAGTTTTGTTCAAAACTCATAGATTTTTATTATTCACAGTCAGGTGCAGCCAGAGGCTTTGTATCTACAGATAAGATGTTTTGAACTTGTTGAACTTTCTGAAATGCTTTTGTCACAACTGGTTATTTTTATCCCAGTACATCGTAGGCAAATAATATAATAGTTAACATGATGTAGCTGAAATTCGTCAAAAAAAGTTTATTTAAACCGTTTTTTCTTGTGTGTAATTTTGATGATCTCAAGCAAATGAAAACCAAATATTCAGATTCACATGAAATGTGAATGTTACATCAAATATATATGTATCTTTAATTATCCAAAAGTTGTTTTTTTATATAGTCCACACTGTTGAGTTGATGGAAAGTTGAGTAGAAGGAAAAAGTGTGGTTAAAAATTATGCCGAAGCAACAGGGATAATGGAGGAAGTAATTTGGATTGTTACTCAATGGTTCGTGATCCTTTTTTTTCTTATGAAGCTATATATTGTATGCTGTTTGGAAGTCAGTGTGGCAGAGTCTGGAGGAAGAGTGAATCCAGGCTGCTTGAAGCTTAATGTGAAGTTTCTGCAGTCAGTGATGATTTGGGGAGCCATGTCATCTGCTGGTTCTGGTCCTGAACCTCTTTTGGACCTTTCTGCTCCGGTTTTGAGACTGATATTGTGACCTCATTATTCAGGATCGAGTTTCCACTTTAACAGCCATCTGTGAATAATTTCTGTTTGTTTTCCATCTCAGCTTGCGTGAACTCAAATCGGTGTCTTAATTGCAAAAACGTTAAATGCTGACCTGTCGAGAAATATCCTGATGCTCCCCGCCTTCGTTCGCAGGTCCACGCCTACATCATCAGCTCTCTGAAGAAAGAGATGCCGTCTGTGTTCGGGAAGGACAACAAGAAGAAAGAGCTGATTGCCAGTCTTGGAGACATTTACAAGCGCATCGAGAGAGAACATCAGATCTCGCCTGGAGATTTCCCAAACCTGAAGAAGATGCAGGTGAACAGAGAAGGAAGCGAATGTTTCAGGGGGTCACGGATGACGTCATGATCTGACGTTGACTTTTGTTTTCCAGGACCAGCTCCAGGCTCAGGACCTCACCAAGTTCCAGCCTCTCAAACCCAAACTTCTGGAGGCAGTCGACGACATGCTGGCCAACGACATCGCTGGCTTGATGGTGCTGGTTCGCCAAGAGGAAACCCAAAAGCCCAACGCAGTGGTGAAGGGCGGCGCGTTCGACGGCACCCTGGACGGTCCGTTCGGGCACGGATACGGGGAGGGAGCCGGCGAAGGCATCGACGAGGCGGAGTGGGTGGTTGCCCGCGACAAACCCGCGTACGACGAGATTTTCTACACCCTCTCCCCCGTCAACGGAAAGGTGACCGGAGCCAACGCGAAGAAGGAGATGGTGAAGTCAAAATTGCCCAACACTGTGCTGGGGAAGATCTGGAAGCTGGCAGATATCGATAAGGATGGGATGCTGGATGACGAGGAGTTCGCTTTGGCCAATCACCTGATCAAGGTGAAACTGGAGGGACATGAGCTGCCCTCAGAGCTGCCCGCACACCTGGTGCCTCCTTCCAAGAGGAAAATAGCCGAGTAAAAGAAAAAGAAGAGAGAGAATAGATTCATGCCCAGAGAAAACTGTAACTGGAGGACTTCAACTTACAAATGTACAAAAAAAGGAAGATATCCGTCGTCCAGTCCTGTTGTTTCTGTCATTCCAACGTCTTCACAGCATTTCAACTTCCATCAAATTGAAACTACTTGATATAAGCAGATCTTTGAACATTCGTACAATTGGACAAAATTTTGTTGAATTTATCCTGCAAATATTTGAACAGTCACAGAAAGCTTTTATTAGAGCCTAATGAAACAGCTAAAACAGACAGTAGGATAAAAATAGACGTCAAACATGTAAGTACAGTCAGTAGATAATAAAATAAAACATAAAGCACCTTAGCAATATTAAATCAAAGTGAATTACAGTATTTCACAGCACTTGTTCTGTCTAGTACTGTGTTAATTTGAGTTTTCCAGGCATGTAATTAATTTTCTGATCCATGTTTAAGGCTGACATAAAAATGAAAAAGGTTTCCTGTAAGGCAGAAGAATGCCCAAAACAAAACGATGGTTATCACTACAATTTGCTGTAGCACCTGGATTAGCTTTTGTTGTTGTTGAATAATTAAAATTTGAATTAGAGAATATGAATTTAGTTATTTTTCTTTTCTTTTTGTGATTCGTAACCTGCTTCGAATCTCATTAACATGTTCCGATACTGTGACACTAATAACAATCTACGTTACATGTTTTGTTTTTGACAGAGACTGAATATTGAATGTGCAGATGCTTGTTATTTCTCCGTAGATTTGTCATGGCCATTGTATGTATTTTATGTATGTGTGTGTGCATCTGTTTGAAAACGTGCATCGGTGTTGACATATTTGTATTTTCATTTTACATCTCACAAGCTACTGACTTGGGAATTTTCCAGTGAATTATTACAAAAATGGTCCAATAACATCCTGGTTGAGCTAGTATTTATCATTTTGTACAAAGTGTATTTCAAACCATTTAAAAAGTATCTCATGCCGGCAGACTTTACTTTCTGAATCGTGTGTTTCGCTGAAAGAAACGCACATTACGGTATTTCTAACATTAGCATGAGCGACGTTTATAGCTTCTCATAGTTTCTAATTGGTCAGTAATGAAATGAAACGACCATATTGGACTCGATTCCATTTTAGCCAGAGATCCTTAAAAGTTGTCAGAAGAGTAAAGGGGTTACATAGCAACTCAAAGTAAATATTTCCACTTCTCTCCTTCTCGGTGTTCTTCATACGCTTTGCAGTTTTAAATCTAAACTTATTGTCATTCCAGCTTTCTTTATCCAAATCAAGTCTGGACTTTGGCTGAGGTAAAACATTATTATATTACTTCAGCTCAGACGAAACAAGTTGACATTAAAAGATGGCTCTAACCCTTAATCTGCAAGGAATAGGAACTACGAACTATTTTCGGCTTAACAAAGCATAACAGCATTCCATTAGTTTATTGTTGGAAAGGTTTGGACCCGATCGGCTACGCATTTTTCCTTTTTTTGTTTTTGTAGTCCTGGTTTCTTAATCATAACAGCATGTTGCTTCCTGAGAAGTTTGTGCTGCAACTACAGAAATACTCTATTACTCTACTAGTGACTGGCTTTATGAAGAAACTCTAACTGCACCATTTACACTAGTTTCAGATGGCTGGAAAGTCATCAGCAGCATGCTTTACTCATTACATCCCTGTATGTCATCAGATGAGTGCATTCACTTGAATACGGAAAAGCTGCCTGTTGAATGTGGATTGCAAAATCCTCCGGCGGTTTTCAAGGGTTGCGACATGAAATAAGTGGCATCACTGGCGTTTCCAGTGTGTTTTCTGTTTGTCGGATGATGATGCATTGCTTCGATGTGTACCTCGCTGCTTTTCTGTCTTCGGAAAAAGTTTAAACGTGGAATAAAAATCATCTTCAACTGCTTCACCTGTGGCTTTTTCTTAAATGAAATACAAAAGTAACCATGCTTTGAAAGGAGGTTTTATCTCTTAAGTCTTGTGCTGCATAAGGCAAAACTACAGTGGAGCACCTGCTAGTCTTGAGTTTTAATTTTACTCAAGGTAAGAGTATACCTCTAACTTTTAGAGTTAAGGTTTGAGTGTAAAGTTGGAAGCTCGTCATTCCTTTGCAACTCCTCTTTTAGCAAGAGCAGCAAAGTCACAGCACCTCCTCAATAAAGAAGATTTGAATGAGAATCTTGATTAGAAATTAAGTTTCTGGAGATTAGACTCTGTGGGGAGTCAAAATCGTTCACTTTACACAAAAAAGCTACTGGAAAAGGAATAATACATAGTTGTATTTATATTTACACACGTTATTTTGCCGTACAGGCGCATTGGAGTTCTAGTGCGTTCAGTCTTACATCAGCATCCGATGAAAAAAAGAAAGAAATATTTTTTTTTGTTGTCTCAGATTAAACCCGGGAAAAGCCAGTGAAAGAAAATGACTACTGTACAGTAATTCAGACGGATTTCCAGCTCATCTAGGAGATAATCTATTAAATTAACTGTGTTCTTGTTCAGCCCTGACTTTGATGAACAGGGTGTGAAATCCTGTACGGTATGGAAATTGAAATTCCTTCAGATTGTTTTTTTCCCCCTCCGTATCTTGGGGTCATTTTGGGGAGGATCTCGTTCAACAGTATGCGACACGGAGCACATGAGAAGTCAGTTATTACTTCTGCTCAAAGCTGCAGTGGAAATGAAGTGGTGAAATAGGAGATTCCAGCTCCGGCCATCTTTTTAGGACAGGAAACAGAGCGTGTGATTTCAGCCTGGAACCACCAGCATTTCTGAATCATCCAGGGACTTCTGAATGTATGCATGTTGATGTGGCAGGAGGCCAGAGGATCCCGTTGGACTGTGACTTACAGGCTCTGTAAACCTTCAACACACACATCAACACACACGCACACTGGCCACATGAAGAAGTGAAACGCAGTAGTCTACTGCGCACACAGGACGGCCTGTACTTGTCCACCACTTCCTGTCAATCCCGCTGTGACCTTCATGGTTTCTCCCACAAATGCATCCTCCATTCAATAATTTCATCAAAACAGAGTTTTAGTGCATTAGTGCTAAAGTAAAGACACACACATATACAACATATTTGTGCTACCATTGTTTTTGAGATTGATAAGATCGAGAGATTTTCTTTTTTTTTTTTTCTTTTTTTTTGCTTAACCTACCGACAGTAAAAAGCTGTTTCTAGATAACGCGCCTAAATTTAATTTAGGAATAGGGGGGTGGGGGGGAACAACATTTTCAACAATTTTAAGTAGATTGTGCTTATATTTCCTGGAACTCTGCAGTAAGATAATGAAGATACTTTTTTAAGATTACAAAGAAACAGATGGACAGCGAGGAGCCAAAGAGTCTTAACTTAGTGAAAGATGACTTATTTTATCAGTTTTATCTTTTCAGAAGGAAAAACACCTACAAATCTTGTGCTGTTTTGTCAGCAGCAATAAATGAGGAACATCAGTCAACAGAAACGTCTAAACGTGTATCTGTATTTGTGTGTGTGTGTGTGTGTGTGTTTCAGTGCAGTAAATGTGTGTTTCAGTGCAGTAAATGTGTGTGAGTTATGTGAGTGAGTGGTTGGTGAAGAAACACACTTGAGGAAACCATACATCAAAACAAATTTGAGTCAGGAATTTAAAAAAAAAAGTAGGGTGGAGAGGATTCTAATTCTTTACATCTCACCCTCATACATGCTGGATGGGAAAAATGCTCTGCTGCTGCAGGCACTGCTGTGTTATCATATGTGGAGCTGTGCTTTGACATTTTTTCCACATTTTCTACCCTCGCAACCACAGCTTTCATTGTATTTTGGGGGTATTTTTGTCTGTTAGACCATCAAAACGCTGATGTATTTTTGTGAAAAAAGAAAAAAAAAAAGTAGAAAAGGCAGTATGCTTACTATTGTTTTACAATCAGTCTGTCATTTGTTGTCTCTAAACTTTAATTAAAACAACATAAATGGAGGCTGATTCATTCAGCATTTAGCAAACTTCTTGGACTCTCCGTGAATTACTTACTGTCAACCAATCAGTCCAGCTTGGATCTTCATCGGCTCAAACAGTACACAGTAAATAATCTGTTTGTGGGAAAACTTGGTTTGATAGTGATCACATCCTCTTTAAAACACAGCGCAGAGGGTCATATAGGGTGTGGGTACCCTCACGTTCTCATTGGTGCCATTATCTTTAGGTCCCACATGCAAGGCTTTATGCAAACCCAGAATGCGATCCCGTATCTTTCCTGTGTTTTCTGGTATTCGGGCTGTTGAGCAATAAATATAAAGCGGGCTAAAAATTCTTGGCGGGCGTCGATGAAGAGAGATGATTGCTCGTTGCTTTCCAAGCCACGAGTGTCGTCTTCGGCAGGCTGAGATTTTGGCAGATCGTCCGTCCACGTCAGGTGTCGGGTGATGTCCCGCTCTTCTCACGCTATCTGTCAAACTCAAACATCGGCACAGTTGCAGAGTTATGCTGCAGAAATGATTGGTGTTATCTTTACTTTACACAATACCAGCTCACAAATGAAAAATGCATTTTTCATTTGTGTTAAGAAAAATGTTGTGTTTTGAAAAAACAACAGAAAGGTATTACACTTATTAAATGTGAAGAAGTTGGAGATAGTTAGTGTAGGTTTTGGTGACAGACGGGTAAGCCAGGTTTCATTTGCCGGAGTTAACGGATGTACCGAGGGCCAGAGTGCCTGGAAGTGGTTGTTTGTGTTTTGACAAGAGGAGAGTGTGTGCTTATAGTAGATCACAAAGTTAGATGGGTTATCAGGTGACAAGGAAAGGCAGGCGGACATTTTGATGGTAAGAGAAGAGCNGACTCGATTCCATTTTAGCCAGAGATCCTTAAAAGTTGTCAGAAGAGTAAAGGGGTTACATAGCAACTCAAAGTAAATATTTCCACTTCTCTCCTTCTCGGTGTTCTTCATACGCTTTGCAGTTTTAAATCTAAACTTATTGTCATTCCAGCTTTCTTTATCCAAATCAAGTCTGGACTTTGGCTGAGGTAAAACATTATTATATTACTTCAGCTCAGACGAAACAAGTTGACATTAAAAGATGGCTCTAACCCTTAATCTGCAAGGAATAGGAACTACGAACTATTTTCGGCTTAACAAAGCATAACAGCATTCCATTAGTTTATTGTTGGAAAGGTTTGGACCCGATCGGCTACGCATTTTTCCTTTTTTTGTTTTTGTAGTCCTGGTTTCTTAATCATAACAGCATGTTGCTTCCTGAGAAGTTTGTGCTGCAACTACAGAAATACTCTATTACTCTACTAGTGACTGGCTTTATGAAGAAACTCTAACTGCACCATTTACACTAGTTTCAGATGGCTGGAAAGTCATCAGCAGCATGCTTTACTCATTACATCCCTGTATGTCATCAGATGAGTGCATTCACTTGAATACGGAAAAGCTGCCTGTTGAATGTGGATTGCAAAATCCTCCGGCGGTTTTCAAGGGTTGCGACATGAAATAAGTGGCATCACTGGCGTTTCCAGTGTGTTTTCTGTTTGTCGGATGATGATGCATTGCTTCGATGTGTACCTCGCTGCTTTTCTGTCTTCGGAAAAAGTTTAAACGTGGAATAAAAATCATCTTCAACTGCTTCACCTGTGGCTTTTTCTTAAATGAAATACAAAAGTAACCATGCTTTGAAAGGAGGTTTTATCTCTTAAGTCTTGTGCTGCATAAGGCAAAACTACAGTGGAGCACCTGCTAGTCTTGAGTTTTAATTTTACTCAAGGTAAGAGTATACCTCTAACTTTTAGAGTTAAGGTTTGAGTGTAAAGTTGGAAGCTCGTCATTCCTTTGCAACTCCTCTTTTAGCAAGAGCAGCAAAGTCACAGCACCTCCTCAATAAAGAAGATTTGAATGAGAATCTTGATTAGAAATTAAGTTTCTGGAGATTAGACTCTGTGGGGAGTCAAAATCGTTCACTTTACACAAAAAAGCTACTGGAAAAGGAATAATACATAGTTGTATTTATATTTACACACGTTATTTTGCCGTACAGGCGCATTGGAGTTCTAGTGCGTTCAGTCTTACATCAGCATCCGATGAAAAAAAGAAAGAAATATTTTTTTTTGTTGTCTCAGATTAAACCCGGGAAAAGCCAGTGAAAGAAAATGACTACTGTACAGTAATTCAGACGGATTTCCAGCTCATCTAGGAGATAATCTATTAAATTAACTGTGTTCTTGTTCAGCCCTGACTTTGATGAACAGGGTGTGAAATCCTGTACGGTATGGAAATTGAAATTCCTTCAGATTGTTTTTTTCCCCCTCCGTATCTTGGGGTCATTTTGGGGAGGATCTCGTTCAACAGTATGCGACACGGAGCACATGAGAAGTCAGTTATTACTTCTGCTCAAAGCTGCAGTGGAAATGAAGTGGTGAAATAGGAGATTCCAGCTCCGGCCATCTTTTTAGGACAGGAAACAGAGCGTGTGATTTCAGCCTGGAACCACCAGCATTTCTGAATCATCCAGGGACTTCTGAATGTATGCATGTTGATGTGGCAGGAGGCCAGAGGATCCCGTTGGACTGTGACTTACAGGCTCTGTAAACCTTCAACACACACATCAACACACACGCACACTGGCCACATGAAGAAGTGAAACGCAGTAGTCTACTGCGCACACAGGACGGCCTGTACTTGTCCACCACTTCCTGTCAATCCCGCTGTGACCTTCATGGTTTCTCCCACAAATGCATCCTCCATTCAATAATTTCATCAAAACAGAGTTTTAGTGCATTAGTGCTAAAGTAAAGACACACACATATACAACATATTTGTGCTACCATTGTTTTTGAGATTGATAAGATCGAGAGATTTTCTTTTTTTTTTTTTCTTTTTTTTTGCTTAACCTACCGACAGTAAAAAGCTGTTTCTA